AAATACATATATACATATATATATATATATATATATATATATATATATATACACACACACATATATATATAAAAGGTTTTTAAATTGATATTTAGAGAGAGAGGAAGGGAGAGGGAGAGAGAGAGGGAAACATGGATGTGAGAGCATGACCTCGATTGGCTGCCTCCTGCATCAGGCAACACCATCCCCCCTCCCCTGCGTGGGAGGATGCCCAGCCAACTGACCCACACCCAATGTATATTTTTAACTAAGTGCTCCACCTTCAAATAACACTATGTTTTACCGGTCATGCAGAAAACTTATAACAGACATTCCCAGTTCCTCCCTCCCACTCCTTAAAGCATTGCTGCCATTCATTTCCCTTAGCCATGTACCACAATAGCCAAATACAGTCATTGTTTTCCTGTAACCTGACTGCTAACCCTATTTCCCAATTAAAAGTAAGAAACAGAATATTTTATTTCACCTTCACTTATTCCTTCCCTGATGCACTTTCTTTCTTAATGGACATCAGTGTCTGGCCTAAACAGTTTTATTTCTGCCTGAAAAACTTCTGTTACGGCTTCTCACAGGGTTAAGTCTGCTGACAAAGAAATTCCCTAGTCTTGTTTGTTTGAGAAAATCCATTTCTCCTTTTCTTTGAGGAATAACTTCACTAAATGTAGGTAGAATTCCAGATAGGAGGGTTGTTTTTCTTGTTTTGACATTGTCAGTATTAGGCCTCACTTCTTTTCTTTCTTTTTTTAAATATATCTTTATTGATTTCAGAGAGGGAGAGATAGAAACATCAATGATGAGAGAGTCGTCATTGACCGGCTGTCTCCTGCACGTCCCCAACTGGGGATCGAACCTCGATCTCCTGGATCCTAGGTTGACACTCAACTGCTGAGCTGCGCCCGGCTGGGCTATGCCTCACTTCTTGCTCGTATTATTTCAGACTTGACTTTCGATGCAATTCTTATCTTTGATTTTATATAGATAAGGAGTATGGATTTTTGAATCTGTCTTTTCTCAATATTTTTGCGACTTTGTTTTCTTAAAAATATATATATATATATTTTAATCCTCACCAAGGATATTTTTTCCATTGCTTTTCTGAGAGTGGAAGTGAGAAAGAAAGAAACATCAATGTGAGAGAGACATATCCACTGGTTGCCTCCCCCAAGTGCCCAGACGGGAGCCGGGGATTGAGCCTGCAGTCGAGGTGTGTGCCTTTGGCCAGGATTGAAACTGGGACCCTTCAGTCCACCGGCCGACGCTCTAACCACCTAGCAACACCAGCCAGGGGTCTTTCTGTTTTTAAATCGAGACGATTGACATACGGCGCTGTGTCAGCTTCAGGTGTACGGCGTAAGGATCCACTATTTGCACAGGTTGCGAAACGACATCCACAGGTCCAGTTAACATCCCTCACCACACATAGCTACAAACATGTTTTCTTTTCTTTCTTGTGATGAGGACTTTTAAGGTCTGCTGTCTTGGCCACTTTCAAATATGCAATGCACTGTTATTAACTGTAGCCACCATGCTGTGCTCTACGTCCTTATGATGCGTTTATTTTACAGCTGAAAATTTGTACCTTTGGTCCCCCTGCACCCACTCAGGTCACCCACCCTCCTGGTGACCACCAATCTGTGCTCATGGGCACAGGCGGACTATGTCAGCAACATCAAGTTGGGCTGAATTTAGCCCCAAAAGGCTGTGCTACTGGTACCATGTCTCTGGTCACAGGTGACAGAAATGAGGGTCATTGTGAATTCAATCTTGAAGGGCTGGAGGCATCTGGACCTAATTTGAAGAAAGACCCCACTAGGACAGTGGCCCACCAGGGACCCAACAGCAACTTGGAGTCAAGGAATGTCCAGTTTGTGTTGCTTCCTAACATTTCCATCCCCGGGAGAGCACAGGGCCTTTTGCAGACATTCCTCAGGGGGTGGAAGGGGACTTAGGTGACTAAATATAGGGTCCTCCCCCTTCCCTTTAGGCCATGATAGGAAGCTGACTTATGGCATCTCTCCTCCGTGTGCTCTAGCCGAGCCGACAGGACGCCATGGATGTTGACCCATAGACCCTGTGGCCACAGCATGAACTTGCGTTTCTCCCTGAGCTCCCAGGGCCCAGATCCAATGCCTGCTCTGGGTCCTGGGTAGGGTGAAGCTCTCAGGCTGATGTCGATGTCAATGTAAGAAACACTGAAACCTATAGAGAGTTTTTGTGAGTTTATTTGAGCCAAACCGTCAACAATTGCTAGAAAGCAAAATCTCAATGGATTGAGATAATGCTCGGAGAAAGGCAGTCCTGCACCTTGTTTTATGTGTTACAATCCAAAGAGGAGACGCAAGTGGGTTCCGTGAAATCCATGGGTGACAGGTTAGGGAGGCGGGAGAAAGCTAAGCGGGGAAACCTCTGGGACTGGAGAGAAAGTAGAATGACAGACACACTTCTTTTACTCAGATGGGTGCAGGAGAGTTAACAGTCAACAATTAACATGACAGCAATAAGAATGAGAGGATTTGTGGTCTCGGCCCTGGTGCACTGGTTGTGTCCTAAGGGGCCTGGAAAAGGAGGAGTTACCCTGACATCCCAAAGGAATGTTATTCTAGATGCAAAAGACAACAGACAGGCTCAGTTAAGGTAAAAGATGGACATTTCCCGGGAAAGGTACCAGCCTAGGACATGACTACCCACCATAAACTGCTTTTAGTTAAAGTTTTAATTTCAGACCATCCTTTGAGGTGACTTCTGGTTTCCGAGTTTGCAAGGCCACCACGCGCCTCCCCTGAGCTCCTCAGGTGAGCACGTGGCCCCTTTTCTGAAGTGTAGCACTCCCCTTTTGTACTCCCCTTTTCTACCCTTACAGTCGCTACTTTGAAGATAAGCAGGAGCAATAAAATTTGGTAGAAAACAATGACCTCTTCCCCTTCCCTGGCTCTTTGTAAAAGATTTCCGCCCACAAAATTCCAGGGAGTAGCTAACCAAAGGTTGATTAATGCTTCTCTTCTGTCTGCTGCTTTGCTAGTCCCCCCTCCCCCATGTTTTTTTTGCCTTTTAAGTCTCCCTGCGAAGCCTGCTGGGGATGCACATTTGTTTAGGACAGGAGCCCGAGCGCACTGGCCGGCTAATAAACCTCCCGCCGGTCAGTTTGGTCTCTGTGGGAATTAGTCTCGAGGAAGACGGGTATAACTTTTCCTCAATGTCCGAGCACACAGGCCCAGGCCCTCCAGCTCCCACTCCTCCAGCCTTGGCCAAGGAGCGGGAAGCAGAAAACTCCTGAGGACGCAGCGTGCTTCTGCTCGCCCCACCGTTACCCACCCTCCATGCTCTCCCAAATATTTGAAAATTTGCTATGGGTGTTATACCCAGTTTTCGTGAGATTAATTCACAGAGACCAAATTGAGTGTGTGGAACTTATTTGGCTACGAGTGGGCTCATGCTCTAAACAGACTCTCAGCCCCGAACAGTCTTCACAGGGAGCATATAAAGGCAAAACCGCATCCTGGTTGGCATGGAGAGGGGTGGGAACCTAGCGAAGCAACGTACAGAAGCCAAAACAAGCACTGTCTAACCATTACGGTTGGCTGTTTCCTGGCACTAGCTTGTAACTGTTTGTTCAGGGATAGGGAACAGGGTTGACAGGTTAAAAATGAGGGTTACATGCTTCATAGGTGAACACACTTGATTGTATGTCATTCTTCTTGCCATTTTGTCATTCTTTGTCCTAATTTTATGTTTTTCACACTTCTTAGTTGGATTTACCGACACCGATATGCACACGTCTTAGCTGTTGAATTTGGAAAACTGGAAGCACCACGTGGCCCCCACACTTGTCGTGATGAGAACATTGGTGAGGGAGCCAGCTCCCACCTTCCTGCCAGAGTCCCTCTTTCAACGAGCAGGAGCTTGTGTGCGGGTGGTGACACAAACGTGGGTATCTGGAGAAATCCGGGGCAGGGAATTCCAAAAGCCCAGCCCGCCAGCAAACAAAGTGGCCAACGTGATCAGAATGAGCATGTTCAGAGTCTGGAAGGTGTTAAAAGCTTGCAGAAACCAGAGGAATGCTTAAGAAAACAAAGGTGGAATCAGTACAGAGCTCACTCTGGGATTGTGGGGTGTGACAGCTGGTAGGAGCCCTTCATGTGGACGGGGACTGGGGTGGGGGAAGTGGGTGATTCCAGGCCCAGAAAAGTCCCGAGGGCACACCTCAAGCTCAATGAAGAGGTGGGGTAGCTGAGTCAAATCCTGACTTGAGTGCCTGGATGAGAAAGTCCCTCCCTCTCTCAGATCACAGTCTTACCTTCCATGGGTGCTATAGTAACCTGACCTCCTGGGATTAGCCTAGTAACCAATTTTCTAAACACCAGGAAATAGAAACTTTGAGAAATTAGAACTGTCTGAGGGAGGGAGGGGCCTGAGCACCATCCCAGCATCTGCACCCACACTGCTCAGGTCTCTGCTTCAGGAAGCTTTCACCTGCTTCACTTGGAACCACAGCTGCTCCCCAAAGCCAGAGATGATCAAGCAGGAACATGAGGTGGTCAACCTGGGGGGTCCCCAGAACTCAGGGCCCATGATGTCCACCGTGGTCAACATCCAGACAGAGACCGTCGTGCCCGACCACATCGTCTGGTCCCTGTTCAACACGCTCTTCTTCAACTACTGCTGCCTGGGCTTTGTGGCCTTCGCCTTCTCCGTGAAGGTGGGTGTGTGCCTGGGGGCTTCTCCAGAAAGTGTGTGTGAGCCCACAGGGGTCTGCTGCCCAGATGGCCCTTGGCACTGGGGACCCCTAGTGAGAATGCTTTTCTGTGTGGATGTGTGTGGTTGGGTGGGGTTCATTCCCAGGGAGGGTTTGCGGTGGGGCTGCATGGACGGGCAAGTGGGTGGGAGGGTCAGCTCTGTCTCCACCATCCCCAGGAGCCCCCCTTCCACCCTAAGTAGAANCATGGACGGGCAAGTGGGTGGGAGGGTCAGCTCTGTCTCCACCATCCCCAAGAGCCCTCCTTCCACCCTAAGTAGAGAAATTACACCCTTCACACATCTGGCTCAAACCTTAAGTCTGGTCCAGAGAAGGAAAGGTCCTTAAAGATGCTGACTCAGGGTGGGGTGAGAGGACAGCCAAGGGGCCAGGGCAGGGGGAGGAGGAGCCCTGAGACCCCTGGACAGGTGGAGTCTGTGAGGGACGGGTGTGNTGAGAGGACAGCCAAGGGGCCAGGGCAGGGGGAGGAGGAGCCCTGAGACCGCTGGACAGGTGGAGTCTGTGAGGGATGGGTCCANGATGCTGACTCAGGGTGGGGTGAGAGGACAGCCAAGGGGCCAGGGCAGGGGGAGGAGGAGCCCTGAGACCCCTGGACAGGTGGAGTCTGTGAGGGACGGGTGTGCCTGGCCCTGTCCTGCTCAGTCTCCAGGGAACAGGGATGGCAGGGTCCCTGATCTGTCTGAGGGCAGGTGGAACCTGGTCTGGGCAGGGACCAGCCAGGGAGTCATAGCACCTGGCTCTCCCCAGGACCTGCTCCAGCCCCCTCACCATCTCTTCTCCCCCAGTCTAGGGACCGGAAGATGGTGGGAGACATGATTGGGGCCCAGAGCTATGCGTCCACCGCCAAGTGCCTGAACATCTGGGCCCTGGTCTTGGGCATCCTTTCCACCATCGGAGTCATTGTTCTTCTGGTGTTTGTGCTCTCTGGATTCTTCCATGCAATGCANGGCCCTGGTCTTGGGCATCCTTTCCACCATCGGAGTCATTGTTCTTCTGGCGTTTGTGCTCCCTGGAATCTTCCATGCAATGCGNAGGACCTGCTCCAGCCCCACTCACCATCTCTTCTCCCCCAGTCTAGGGACCGGAAGATGGTGGGAGACATGTTCGGGGCCCAGAGATATGCATCCACTGCCAAGAGCCTGAACATCTGGGCCCTGGTCTTGGGCATCCTTTCCACCATCGGAGTCATTGTTCTTCTGGTGTTTGTGCTCCCCGCATCCTTACTTGCAATGGGGAGGGGCACGTAGAATGGCAGGGGTATTAGTCCCCACCCAGGGCATGTGACCAAGTCCCCCCNAATGCAGAGGGGGTACTAGTCCCCACCTAGGGCATGTGACCAAGTGCCCCTACCCTCTGTGAACCCTGCCCTGGGGGCCCATCCCTGTACCCAGCACTTTGTACAGAATAGAGCTATGTGCAGCTGAACTCAATAAAGTGCACTTGTATGTGACGATGCTGACATTTCCTGGGCAGGGAACTGCGGGGTCCCCAGCCTGCCCCTGAGACAGCCCCAGCACCCCCTCTCCTACCTGCTTGCTGCTGAGAGGGGCCCAACACTTTCTGAGATGTTCCTGGCCTCCCGCTGGGAGCAGCAGCTGGACCATGGTCCTAGGATGGGGGTCCCTCCCTCCAGTGCCTAAGCCCTGACCCAAGGGGCACTGGGTCCAGAGCACCCTTGGGCCCGAGGACAAGCCTCCCTGCCTCTGGGCTGGCTGGGAGCAGTGGTGCTGGGTGAGTGCGGCAGGCGAGTCCTCTGGGAGGCCATGGGGTTTGCATGTGGGGTGCAGGGATGGAGCCCCGACCCCGCAGCCCCTCCTGGGCGGTCCCACCATTGCTGTGTCCTCCTGCCTCCTCCAGCCCCCAGCTCTGTTCTTGCTCCTCTGCAGGGTACAGGGGCAGGTGCAGCCAGTGGCCAGGGAGGGACAGAGTGTTCAGCCCGATGGACAGAAACCCTGAGAGGAAGGACCCATCCTCCCACCAAACCAGCTGGGCTTGCTGGCTGGAGCTGCTGCCAGTGCCCAGGAGGGTCTCAGGCGGTGGGCACCCTCGGGCTTTGGGGCTGAGCCTTTGCCAGGGCCCGGGATGCACATGGGAATGGAGCTGTCCTCAGCTTGACCCCCCACTCCCTGCACAGTGACCCTGAGAGGCTGGCGAAGTCCAGGTGACCACAGGCTGGTGTCAGCGAGGTGGACCCATGTCTCCATGGGCCTTGCCCTTTGGGGGCCTGGCCTCCCCCGGGTTCCAGCTGTGGGGCGAAGTCAGTCCCTTGCTGTGGTCTGTGGGCGGCAGCTGTTCCCGATGGGCTCTCCGTTCAGTCGGGGCACCCACGAGGGGCGGACAACCCAAACCCCCACGCCCCCTTTGCGACACCCCCTGCAGCACCCAACTCCTGGGCCAAACGTGGGTGCTTCGTCTGTGGTAGGCGATGCCTCCAAGGGCGCCCCTGTTCCCGGGGTCCCAGGTCTGAGGGGGATGGTGGGGGCAGTGGAGGGGGCTGGGGCTGAGGCCCAAGGAAGATGGTCCTGCAGGACCAGAGGCTGGGAAGGGCTCTCTGTCCCCAAGGCTGGACCCTGGAGGTGACATGGGCAGAGCCTGCACTCTGAGCTCTGGGAGTGGGGGGCACAGCTTCCGCCGCCCGGCCCCAGGACTTGGTGAAGCCGAGGCCCCCTGGGACCCCCCTTCTCCCTGGCAGCGGGGCGGAGGCTTGGACGGGGGTCTGCAGGCCGTGCGCACCCGGTGCGGCCTCGGTGGGGACGGTGCGCAGCAGGG